TCTTTAGGCGCCATGCGATATGGGGCTTTGGACACTGGACCGGCCCCTGGGATAAGTTCAATGGAAAACTCCACCTGACGGTTGGGCGGTCCTCCTAGAAGCTCATCTGGAAAGACGTCAACAAACTCGTGAACAATAGGAACATCATAAGGTGTCTGCGCTCTCTGAGAATCCTCAACAAGGCTTACCAGGTAACCCTGGCAGTTGCCTCGTCGTAGTAACTTAGTGGCTTTCGCCATCGATATAACATGAGGCAGTGAACGGTTCTTGGAGTCGAAGAAAGTAATCGACTCGTCCTCCGGAAGATAGAGGGTAATTTCCCGGTCATGGCACCTGATATCAGCATGATAGAAAGAAAGCCAATCCATCCCGAGAATAAGATCGAAATCCTTCATCTCGAGAACGAACGCGTCGGCGGTCAATACTCGGCCACCGATGGAAAGGCTCAGGTCTGTAGCTTTGGCTGAAGTCACTATCTTTCGTCCCGAGGCTAAACTGACCTCGAGAGGATCGACAGCGGTGACTGCATGAACTCCGATGGCGTCGAGACACCGTCGGGAGATGAAGGTGTGCGTCGCTCCGGTATCGAATAACGCAAACACAGGAACATCATTAAGAACGATCATCCCGGACATTGTACCTGGTTGCTGTGCTGCCTCCGCCTGGTCGACCGCGTAGACCCTGGCCTGCTGCCTCCCTCTCTGCTGCTGCTGCTGCTGCTGCTGCTGCGGTCTCTGTGCCTGCTGTCGTGGCTGCTGCTGCTGTGGCTGCTGAGGCTGCTGCTGAAGCTTCTTCGGGCAACGGCTCGCGAAGTGTCCCGGCTCCTGGCAGAAATAACAGATGTCCTGTCCAGCTCGACACTCTCCCCTGTGAAGTCGGCCACAAGTCGGGCATGGTGGAATCTGTCTCTGTCGGGTCCTCCAGTCTGTCTGTGCACCCTTTGCCTTCCTCTTCTTGTCCTTGGCTGGCTGCGGAGCTGGTAAAGCTGGTGGAGCTGCGACTGGCTGAGCTGGGGCAGATGTCTGAGC